TATAAATTCTTAACAAAAGTGGGTGAAAAAATATTGGAGATTTGGGACTAATTTCAAGAAAGGTATCATCAGGGTAGCGGGATGTTCGGAGAGCGGGAAGGGGGATCAAGGGGGAACCCATCTCAAGGTTGGATATATAGCCCTTCCCCCATCCCCCTGAAGGGGACAGATAACAGAAATGTGGGTGAAGGGAGACAACAGACAGTGTAAGATACAAAATAATAATAACAAAATATAACTGATCAAGGATTCATGAGGATTGGGGCATGGGGAAGGGAGATGAAAAAAGAGGACTTATACCAAGGGCTCAAGTAGAAAATATTTTGCCAATGATGATGGCAACATATGTCCAAACATGCTTGCTACAATTGATGTGTGAAATGTTATAAGAGCTGGAAAAGCCACCAATTAAGTGATTTTAAAAAAATCAGCTATTGAAAGATCTGTGGAGCACAGTTCTATTATGATGAGCATGGGGAGGCCGTGAGTTGGAATTGGCGCTCTGAAGACTAGTTGGCAGTTAGTATGCAAGGCTTAGCTCACAACTCTGTGCCCTTGCATCAACCCTGACTCAGAGGCATGTCCAGGACAGGGTGGAGCGGTCACCATGAGTTTCTGAGACTACACATCTTTACAGGACTAGAAAGCCTGATCTTTCTTCAACAAGTGGCTGGTGGCTTTAAGCTGCTGAACTTGTGGTTAAAAGGCCAGTGTGCAACCAACTAAGCCACCACCTCCAAATGTTATAATTTATTTACAAATGTAAACATTTAACTTTTTTAGTACACTCTTCTCTTTTAGATGTACACACTATGTCAGGATGCTTCAGTGTTTAGTCTAACACACTGTTATTGTAAGGTTTCTAGATCATGGAACCTTCTGGTAAGGCTGCCTTGTAAGGCTTGGAAGCTTAGCAGAAAGGCACAATGATCTTTATGCATTACGGCAGCAGTTCTCAACCTGTAGGTCGCGACCCCTTTGGGCATCTAATGACCCTTTCACAGCAATCACTTAAGACCATTGGAAAACACATGCATATTTCACAATATATAACTACATATTGTTTTGTGATTAATCACTGTGCTTTGTTTCATTATGTTCAATTTGTAACAATGAAAATACATCCTGCATATCAGATATTTACAAAGCAATTCCTAACAGTAGCAAAATGACAGTTATGAAGTAGCAACGAAAATAATGTTATGGTTGGGGTCACCACAACATGAGGAGCTGTATGAAAGGGTCGTGGCATTAGGAAGGTTGCGAACCACTGCTCTAGAGGATGAGTGTTTGGAGAGGATCCCCAATGTTAGAGTGGGTGCAGGGTTGGAGATAGCAAGGATAGACTGAAAAGTGTGGGAAATGGGTGTGCTTAGTTAAGAGACTTTTTTCTTGTTTTCTTGAGTGCAGCATCGATCAGTCATCAGGAGCAGTAGGACTGTAACAATTACTCTGCTTATGTTGACTGCATCATTTTGGGCAAGACACTTACTTGTCTCATGCTTCATTCTCTATATTTTCTGAGCTTTCTCCTGTAACCAATATCCAATTTAACATCCTAATTCCAGAAGAACTCTTCTGTCTTCAAAATTATATTACCTCATGGTTCTTAGTGTTGCTCCACTTTCCCAATAAGATAAATAGTTTTAGTGAAAATATTAAAGTGGTTTTACATCAAACTAGCTATATAGCAACACTGTTCCTTCTCAGTCAAAGAATATTTCTATAGTTTCATTTCCTTTTAGCTATGCAACAATAAAAATTATTGTACCAAATGTTCACTAGAAATTTGAGGTAATGCCATAAACAATGAAATGCTATTGAAATTATTAGCACAAATTATAGAATTAAGGAGTTCTTAGCATTTACTTGGTGATTTTCCTTTTCATGAGTGAATCTAGTGAGCCTAAAAGTTCATAACATATAGTTTCTATGCAAACATTTTTGTATTCATGGTTCTAAAGATTTATAAAGTTTTGGAACATTTCCTTGTCAATGTTAGGAGTCTACTGTGTTTATCAAGAAAATTATCATTTAATCAATACTCATAATTTAATCATATGAGATTTTTTAATTGGCATATAATTCATACACAATTCAATATTCAATAATATTGACTTGTGCAATCATTACTACAATAAATTTTAGAACATTTTCTTCTTAATTATAGTTAGCTCCCCACTCTCCCCATTTCCCCCAAACCTTCTCTGCCATGTCCCTCAGTAATTATTAATCTAGTTACTGTGTATAAGTTTATCTGAATTTCATATACAGAAAAAAACATACAAAGCAAAAATTAAGAAACAGGCCAACTAACTAAAACAACAACAATGACAAAATGAAATTGAGAAATACCTTAATCACAATGAAAGTAGAAAATATTAAGCACTGGAACAAATTTAAAATGGGTCAAAAGGGAGATCAAATGGTAAGGTGTTATATTTTAAGCAAACTGCATCTGTCCTAATTGACTTTACAATGCTCTCTGTGTGATAGTAAGGCTATGCACACCCCTGAACTATAGTCAGAGGGAATTCACTGGAAGCATTCCACTGTCATCCTTAGCCTTCTATAGACTGGGTGTTCAGAATTTAAACTCTGATCCAATTCCCTTTCCTAGATCGCTGAAGATAAGGGTGCTAAAGAAAGTGTGGTGAAGGAATCAGACAGTGCCCCCAAATCAGAAAGAACAGCACCTGGAGCCTTACAGGCTTCAAATGAGCAGCCATCTAAGTGAGGCATCAGTTCGGTCCACACAGAAGCACGCTGGCTTGTGTGATCCAAGGATTATAAATAAAAAGAGATTTTGAGCTAGTCAATGTCAATTTTTCTAATTTTGAGATTCTGTGATATTATTTCTTCCTTGGGAAGGGGCACTGAATATTAAAAATATCAGCTGGAACTAATGCGAGTCAAAGGACTTGTCTCAAGAGGTTCCATTATAAATACCGTGTTAGGTGTTAACTTTAAGTTTCCTTCCCCTTTGGCAGATGTTATCCACCTAGTAGGCAGCCTAGAGAGAGCTTGCCCTCGAACTTGGGGTCTGACAGCCAGTGAAAATAAATGGAGAGTATTTCAGTCAAGGGCAGGAGCTGCCCAGCTCAGGGATGACTTTGTATGTGGGGGGGACACCGCCTGATTTACTCTCTGCACTGCTCTTCTATGAATGGACTTGATCTTCAGGAACACATTTCTAAATGCAATCAGTCCACCAATTTCATCTTTCAAATGCCATATCTTGCATATTTACTATTTTATCCCATCAATGTAAAGCAATTAGAAAATTCTAATGATGAAAATGCCAATTAAAAGCAACGAGGTACAGAGTGAAGCTTTAGTGGCTCCATGGTGGGTGTTGGGCTAGTACTGAAAGGGCAGCAGTACACAACGACTGGCTGCTGGGCAGTGGAAGGACGCGGTTGTCTGCTCCCATAGTAATTTACAGTCTTGGAAACCCCGTGGGAGTCATACATTTGAAGTAATGCCACAAAAATTAAATGTTATTAAAACTGTGAACACAAAGCAGATATTACAAAGGCAACATATTAATGAACCCTCGACATTTACTTGGTGATTTTCAGTGTGCATGAGTGTACTTAGAGCTTCAAGACCTACAGTTACAGCAGTGGGTTTTTTGTTGTTGATAGTGATGTTGCTAATGTTTTGTGTTTTCATTTAAAGAGTTAAAAGCACGTTAGCATGTTTTTTTTTTCTTTTGTGGATTACATAGTTTAGTGACCAAAAATATCCAGAGGAAAGTATCTATATGTGTTATATGCAAAATTGAATTTTTCATCATTTGCAAATATACTGACAATATTCTTCCTTAGAGAAGCTGTATTTAAATGTTTATAGAAATAGACCCTTGGAACATGCTTAATATGTTTTAGCTTTATACTAAATATATCAGAGATCTAAGTGAGAATCTGTCCGCTAACGGGAATATTATTTCCATATATATTTTAAAGTATAATTTTTAGGATTGTTAAGTTCCACTAAATCTGACAATGCCACCAGGGCCTCTTTACAATCCACAACCTCCACATATGTGTGTGTGCGTGTGTATGTGTGTGTGTGTGTGTGTGTGTGTGTGTGTGTGTGTGTGTGTGTATCTTGCCTATCAGCAGTGCAATTCATTTGAAATAAAGCTGGATTAGGCAGGAGCCCTGGTGGTACGGTGACACGTTGCCCTGATAACAGCAAAGTTAGCAGTATGAGACTACCAGCCACTCCACAGGAGAAAGATGGGGCTTCCGATTCCTATAAAGCGTTGCCGTCTCAGAAATCCACAGGGACAGTTCTGCCTTACCCTATCATGTCACTATAAGTCGGCTTCCACTCGATAATATTAGGAATTGAGGGCAGCAAAAGTGGCATGCATCGTTTTAGCTTCATGAGATGAACTGGATTATAAATTTGTTAGGGAATATGGAGCAAGGTAGTAAGATTTTTACTATAGACCACATTTTCTACCAACAGTATTTCATAAATATGTAGTCCACAACAAAAACAAGATCAATAACAAAGAGTCAGTGAACTTTGTTATTTCAACAACTAGTGTAAAATTCCGTGCAGCTCCCCAAAGGGAAGCCTGTCTGAACACTCACCGCCAGGGAATCAAGTCTGACTCAGGATGATTCCATAGGGCAAGATAGCACTGCCCCTGTGGGTTCGGAGATGGTGCCTCTTTACAGGAGTAGAAAGCCACCTTTCTCCCGTGGAATGGCCAGTGGTTTGGAACTGCTGACCTTGCAGTTAGCAGCCCAGTGCCTAATCTCTATGCCACCAGGGTGGCTTAAACGTAATGAGGATGATGGATTTCATTTTTCTTGAATCATTGTTGCATGTTGAAACTTTTCAGTTTTTTTTAGGGATGAAACAGCATTCTGAGATACAGTTTGTGGTAACTACAATTAAGATATATATAAATCAATTTTAACATAGGAAAATGCATGGTGCAAATAGCTTTCCAATACTTATGCTCCTTATTTTCCAGTTCATAATTTTTCCATTTCCTTTATTTGTATCTTTGGCTGATATATGACAATACATTCTCTCCGCAAATTAAATTGTTTTCATGTTTATCAATCATATTTGCATTGCAACAGTGAATCCATCTACATGTGTATTTGAATTATTATACAGAAATACAATTTGTAAATAAGTAAATTTTGAAAATAAAGTTCACATTAAGATTTAAATATTAACACAAGAATTGACATTTGAAAATTATTAAGTGAATGAAATTGATTTACTTTCAAAGCTGTCAAGAATTTCATTTGTGTAGTGTAGGACATTTGCTCATGGGTCCTTCATAGGTCATCACAAGTGCTTTATTTCTTTCTTGAAACATTGAAGAACGTGTGCATTAACGCTCTGCCCTGTGATGTTCCGTCTTCACAGTTCATTGGACGACGGCTGACACCTGGTGGAGGTGAAACTGGTCTCACAGAGCAGTCTGTACATACAAGGCTATGCTTAGTCCGAGCATACATTTTGTAAGACATATAATGTGGGACCAGGTCCATCATGAGTCATGTGATTATATTGCCACTGGTATGTTCTCCTTAGGTGGTCGATGGGAGAGAATTGAGCATGAGATAATACCATTCACCTGAAATGAAAAGGAAAATATAATTGTTATTGTATAGAAGATTTATTAAATGTGATCAGTTTCCTTGCGTGCCCTGCCAGTTCCTTTCCACTGCCAGGCTTCTTGGCCTTGTGTCCTATCTGCTTGGCATTTATGTGTCCTTGCTTTGTACGACTGGTTCCCTTGCTTTGTTCATGAGTGAGCAACTGCTTTCTTTGCTATTTATTGGGTAATCTGTCCCTGTACAGGAAATGTGTACAATAGCAACAAGAGCAGCCCATTTGGATTCTTGTGTAAATGTAACTTCCTTTGACTAACTAGAACTATGAGAGGGTGGGCTGTGTATGTGAGAGAGAGAGAGAGAACTGCTTGAGTAGAGTCCGTGAGACTAACTTTCTCATAAAGAAAGCTGTCCTCTATCAAGGCAATTCTGACTGATTGAGACCCCATAGGTCAGGGTCGAACTGCCTGCCCCTGTGAGTTTCCAAGGCTATAATTTTAATAGGAGTAGAAAGCTTCATCTTTTTCCTTTGGAATGGCTGGTGTCTTTGAACTGCTGACCTTGTGGTTAACAGTCTAATGTATAAGCTACTATGCCACAGTTGTAAAGTTGTACTACTTACCTAATTGGCAAGTGACTTGTACTAAAAGTTCAGCATTTATCTAATTGGCAAGTGACTGATGACCTAAGAGAGTCAGTGTCTTCATTTGTGAAATTCCTATTCTCTTTTGGTATTTATCTGCTGCAATATAATTTTTCAAAGTAAACAAATGCTTCAAAATGTTAATTAAAAAGTCTTGTTTGAGGAATATCCATCATTTCCTTAACTGAGAAGCGAGTATCAGGCTCATATTAAGAAAGGACGTCCTAAAAGGCAGGTATAAGGACATGCACATTAATTAATTGATAAATAGGTGAAAAGGAGTTGTTTGTTTGCATAATCTATTTTACTAAGATTATGGGTTTTGGATTAATTAATTGTACTATTAAAAGTCAGTTTAAACAGCATAATGTCCATTTTTTCAATGTAAAGACTTTTACTAAGGTTGGAAAATATTGCTGCCAAGGCTTGTAGGGTTTTCAGTGACTACTTTTTGGGAAGAAGGTTGCCAGGACTTTCTTCTACAGTACCTCTAGGCAGACTTGAACTTCCTACCTTTCTGTTAGCAGATGAGCACACTGACTACATGCACCCATCTGCATATAGTAATACAAAATGGGGGTCTTGTGCCCCCACTCGGATCTGGATCAAGGTCTTCCATGGTTGACTGCTGCTTTGTGTTGATGTGTATTTTTTTAAGTTTCCAAATTCTGTGCTTATGTTAGTCCAGGTGGACTACAGAAACAAAATCATAAGCACACATATGTATAAGAAAGAGGTTTATATACAAGAGCAATTGAACATTGAGAAAACATCCCAGCCCAGCTCAGATCAAGTCCCTAAGTCTGATATTAGCCCATATATCCAATATCAATCTATAAAGTCCTCTTCAGACTCATGAAATGCATGCAATGATGCTGAATGTAGAAGATCACAGGCCAGTGGGTAGAACATCTTTGGATTCAGTGGCATTGGAAACATCTCAGCGCTGACAGGGGTCTCTGCAGCAGGGTGGGTTCATGTGGCTTGTCTTCTCCAATGTCTCCCAGGGAGTAGCAGAGAGAGGTGTCTTCCGCCTCCAAGGAGGAAGTGGTCATGCCCACACAGAAGTCTCATTGGCTATCTCTAGATTGACAGCCTAGACTCTACCCCTACACTCTCAATCCTTAAATTGACACCAGATTAGGTGACTACCACAGTGTCTAATACTTTTATCACCAAAACGTTACACAAGGTCAGCAGTTCAAATCCATCAGCCAACTTCTGGCAGTAAAGATGCGAAGTTGTAGTCTCAGAAACCCACAGATGCAGTTCTACTCTGTCCTGTGGAGGGAGTAGCCATTGGCTCTATGGCGGGGAAATGTCTGTTTAAGGAGGCCCAGTGAGAGAGTGGGTTTATTACTGGGCTGTTCGCTGAAACGTCAGCAGCTCAAACCCAGCTGCTCCGAGGGAGAAAGAGGAAATAGCCTGCTTTCTAAAGACTTACAGCCTTGCAATCCTGTGGGGCAGTTAGACCGGGCCACATTATGAGTCAACGTCAGCTCAGTGTCAATGGGTGTTTGTTTTTCCATTTTTGGTGGGGGAGCTTTATCTTTCCTTGGATCTGACCTGAAAACTTTGTGAAGCCCTTGTGAAGGACTGAAACAGACTTTCCTAAGCCTTATTTTTCTTCTCTGTACGTTGTAAATAATTATGCCCACTGAGTCAATACTCCGTCATCAGTTTCTTTCTCTCAGGAAGCTGGCAGAGAAGGCAAAGCATGAACCTCTGATGTCACTAAGATGCTGCTCATGCCCTTGTCTATTTAAGGCTAATTCCCAAAACGACTGCCATCAAGTTAATTCTAACTCATAGAAACGCTGTAGGGAGAAGAACTGCCTTGTAAACAGGAAAGAAACAATGGAGACAGCAACAGCAGGGGGTGGCCTTCCTCAGCACCACTGGCAGGCAGTGGATTCTGATTCAGGGAGCTGATGGGATAAGTGGAGCTGTACTTGTGGGTTTCTGAGACTGTACGTCTTCACGGAAGCAGCATCTTTCTCCTGCGAGCAGCTGGTGACGTCATGCTGCTGACTTTCTGGGCAGCAGTCCAACAACAAAACCCAAATGCCACCAGGACTCAAAAGGAACTCAGTTAGGTCACAGCTGGTTCCTTTGGGTGCATCCTCTGGCATCTAATCTTTATAATCTTCATTGGCCCTAATTTCTATAATGTTGGTTTAGTGAAAATGAATTTGAGGTATATTTTTTCTTTTCAATGGGAGTGGGGGAGGAGAAGAGCTTAACGTTTCCCTGTATTTCCTACACATCCTCTTTAGTGAAATCTTGTTTCTTCTACTTGCTTTCTCTGGTATAGTAAGTTAAAGCCCTTTGCTGATCCTTGTGGGTAGAGAAGGCTGCTGCCAGCACCATTGTCTTCATTCACTGTTCATTCCCTGTCTCTCCAGCTCTGAAGATGTCAAAATAGCACTTTTTATAGCGGGCTGTTTGCTATTTAGAAACTTCTAGTGGAAGGTAGTTCTCAGGTAAGTAGTTGAGGATCAATATTTTGTCTATTTGAAACATTATTCAGATTCCCCAAATGGTGTAAATGAGTAATACGCTCAGCTACTAAACAAAAGGTTTATAGTTTGAGTCCACCCTTGGGTGAAAATCTGGTGATGAGATTCTGAGGAGTAGCCCATTGAAAACGCTTGGGCACAGTTCTGCTCTGCATACCTGCAGAATCCATGGTCAGAGCCAATTCATTGGCAGATATATATATGTGTGTGTGTGTGTGTGTGTGTGTGTGTACATTCAGCAATATATAAGTGTTTAACCAACTATATATCTAACAATATATATATAAGTGTATAATAGAACTATAAGTGTATAGTTACAAAAGTTGTATGCAAATGTTAATGAATTAAAATTTTCTGAATTGCCCCTTTATTCTTGAGAATGAATATTGATATAAGCAAGTGATCATAATGAGTTTAGTATTTACATTTTCATGGAGGTAGCAGCTATTAAAGTCATATGTAAATCAGCATGAGGACAATTCATGTCATTTAGTGCAGGTTGTCAGATAATGGGAGCTCCTGACACTCTCAATTTACAAGTCATTTTAAAGCCCAGTACCTAATTTGACTCTTATTTGATAGCAAAGGAAATTGAAACATAAAAGGGAAATCATTTGTCAATGCTGTCCTTTTGATTAAATGGCAACACTTCACCACAATGAATTGGAATCAACTCTATGGCAAAAGATTTGTTGGGATTAGGTTTTGTTTGTCCGTTTGCTTATGCCTTCCATATTGGCTAACCATTGACAAGTTCTTTTGGTACAGTGGCTCTGTGTACTGCTTCCATCTTTTTAAAATTCTTCCTGTGGTCAATATTTTTTCATACAATCCTTTAATATTGCAACTCAAGTATTCATATTTATTCTTCAGTTACTTCAGCCTCACTAATAATTTAAACCAACATTACTGAAAGCTGATGGAATATTGTTGCTGAATGCAGACAGGACTTGAAATAGTTAATGATTAAGATCAATGAAGACATAAAGGCTTCAGCATGGATGTATCTTAATGTAATGGAAACAAAATCCTCAAAAGTAGGCCAATAAGCAATATTATACTAAACAGAAAACTTGGAAATTGTCAAGAATTTCACTTTACTTGGATCTACAATCAATGCTCGTATAAATAGCAGTCAAGAAATCAGACAACACATTTTGTCTGCTGAAAAGTTCTCTTTAAAGGGTTAAAACGTTGTTTCCATCTGTTTGCTATTGCTAATAGTACCGTGATGAATATAGTTATATGTGTATCTATTTGTGTCTTGGCTTTTAGTTTCTAGTACAAATACCTGGTAGAGGGATTGCTGAAGCAGAAGGCATTTCTCTTTCTAAATTTTTAAGTCAAACTGTTTGTCTCCATGGTAGCACAACTTTACACTCATCCCAGCAGTGGGGGAGGGCTCCAGTCACTTACATCTTCATGAGCATGTGCTGTTCTCTGTCTTTTATAGCTTGGCTCTTAATAGTTGGGTGAGATGACACCTCGTTGTAGTTTTGATTTAAATCTTTATAATGCAACAGTTGAAACATCAAATTGTGCACTGCATTGGGCAAATCTGCTACAGAAGACCTCTTTAATAAGGTGCTGAAGAACAAGGATGCCATTTGGGGATTCATGTGGACCCAAACCAAGTGATGGTAGTTTCAGCAGCTTCATTTGTTGGCCACCTGAATGTCTGGTTGGTTTTTTGTTTGTTTTTAATATATCTTATGTCTTGAATTTCTTTTTAGATTGTATTATTTGTCTTTGTGTTATTGGGGTATTGAAATGTTCTCTATGTTCTACTTAAGGTGTCATTGCAAATTTTCCCCCCAGCTGAGTGATCTCGTTTTACTCCTTTGATGATATCTTTCAG